GCGCACATGCAGCTCGATCAATTTCAGCAGGCCATTATACAAGCCATCACCGAAGCCCATAATGCACTTCAAGAAGGTGTGGCAATGGAATCTCTCGAGATTGCGCACAATTCGGCAATACTAATTGAAGTGTATTGTGGGTTTTCGCCGATACTTCATAACTATGGCATTCTAGGGTTTAACCGTGATCGGGGAAAGTTTGGATTTTATAGCTTTGGATGTCGTGGGCTTAGTTTGTGAACGATGCGTATCTGCGATATGGTGTTGCATGTAGACGTTTTAAGTAAACTCATTTTAAGATACATGTACCTGTGAAATACTCATATCTTTGTGAGCAAAATTTAATCACGGAGTAATCAACCGATTATTTTCTATTGTAATACTAACTTACTAAAAATAAGAATACGTAAAAATAGTGAATAGTGGATAGTTTGGTAAAGTGTTAATAATATTCTAATAATAAGTACATGTACATGTATAGTAACATAATAAGTGCTCAATTATTTATGCATGTTAGTACTCGGTTGAAAAATGCGTGCTTTAAACATCAGGCTTTTATTAATTTCAGACTTTGTTAGAGCTTGTAGAAAGTAACAAAATAATGTCGCAGCTAAATATGTTGTCCTTCCCAGTCGTTTTAATCATATTATCCTCTGACTTATCACCTTGACTGGTCACGTGACATGGGTTCCAGTTTAGAAGATCCAGTACATCTTGCGCCGATCCTTATTTACACAATTTTGCTGGCCTTAATCCACACGAGTACGTTAAAGGGATACTCTATACCCAAAACGGCAATTTTACGAAAAGATAGCTTATGGCCTTATTAAAAGATTTTGATAAGATGAAATGTCCAGTTCTTTTGCATTTTCCTGAAAACGAGGAAAGTTGTTCGCCACGCAATTAAAATTTTGCGCTGCAGGTAGAAACCGGAAAGTAGAAAGAAAATCCTGTCTCAAGGCAATACAACGTAGCTTCAAGGTTTCCGGTCTGTTTTGAACAGTCAATAAAGGATTTTATGGCTCATATTTCAGGGAGAATTTATAATACCACACTGCTGCATCGCTGTTGAATGTTTCAACGCGCGCAAAGACGGAGTTAGTCTTTCTCTGGCCTGATGATCTCTGATATGCCAGGCTTTGGACGAACGTTAATTTTATGCTTGCTTGGAGCGCTAATTTTACTGAAGACTACTTTGAAGCAAAAACAGCGATAGCTTAGTCCTTAGACTTAAAGATGAAACCAATAATGAAAGCTGGTGATGTTCCAACTATTTTTAAACGTGGGTTTCCAGAGACCAAAAGCTAAGGCGTGAAACGGATACCTCCGCAACCTCTCAGGATACTCAAAGGCAAATCACCAAAAAGTTAAATTGATTTCTTATGCTTTATATGTTAAAATTCTATGTACTCTGTGTTCTCATTACTCGTCTGCAAGGCGAAATCCCTTAAACACAAAGTCATGTTCATTGCCTGGAGGAGGGAAGTGAGCCGCAACTGGCAGCAAACAGCACAAGAGGGATCGCGCAAGATGGTAGGACAACGCGAACTTTCTACGGCTAAAATGACTAGCACCACCTCGCCAGTTGC